CCAACTCTCCCAGCCGTCGTCCACATTCTCAGTGGGTGCACACTGCCCCTGTGTGTTTGCCACTTTGTCCTTATTCCCCTCAGCGACTTGAAGCATCCAGGTCCATCCTGGTGCTGCTCAAACCCCTTTGTTTGGCAGGGGAAGAAGTCATTGACCTGGCTCTCTCCCAAGAATCTCGTGTTTTGTCCCAAAACAATCTCCTACTATCTAATTTTTCAATGTTCTATACTGTTTTGGCCTCCATCCTTTATCTGAGCACTGTTGGCTATTCACTCTGTTCCTCAGAAGGTGGGCTAGGTGTTCCATCTGTAGGCCAGGGAAAGTGGATTCTGTTACCGTGTATCTGTCTCCCTGCCATCTTCCCCCTGGAGAAACATGTTACTTGATTTTGAGTCAGAAGGAACTAATAGATCTAAGTGTTTGAGAGATTAGATTTTTGAATTTTGAATGATATCACAGCTTAGTTTTCAGTTAAGTTTGTACAGATGGCGTAGATTTGAAATCTATAGATTCTGAATGGGTTGTATAAATGAGGTATGTTTTCTTTTTATATTGGTCTAGTAATTCTTATATGTTAAAGTACATCAGATTTTCAGAGTAGCAGATGGACTTAAAATAATAATACATGGACAATAAAGTGGGGTTGGGTAGAGAAGAAAGATGAATAGGATGTGTACATAGTTCTTTATCCTTTTCCTCTTTATCCCTTGTTCCTCATCTTTTGATGTAGAATTAAAAGGAAAAATTATCAGGCTGGACCATTTTGAATTGGAGAAAACAGATTTGCAGTATTTTGAGGGAATCTCATTATATTTACTCAATCCTTAAAAGTCTGTTAGAACCCTAGGCATATTTGTTAAAGCTAACTGTGTGTGGTGGTTATTTTTTTTTCCCTCTTATATACCTCCCTTTCTGTGATTCCATCCATTCCTAGACTCCCCTAGTTTTGCAATTATTATTATTTATTAACAATTTTTTTAAAGTTTTTTTCTATGCCAAAACATATGTCAGATCCTGAGATAAGATTATAAACAAGACAGAGTCCCTGTACCCTTGGAGCATAAAATCTTATGAAAGCATAAAAACAAATACACATCAAATGGCACTATGAAGTAAATAGAGGGTGCAGTGGGTGTCTGTAAGAACTCATCTACCGGTATGGATATTCAGGAAAAGCTTATAAGAGATGTCCAGTTTCTTGAGACCTTCCTGTTGTCTCTTATCTTCTGAAGTTACTCTGAACATCCTCTGTTCAGTTTTCATTCTCTCTTCCTTTTTCATTTAAAACTAATTTGCTTGTACAACAGTGTGGTTTTTGTGGGGAGGGGTACACAATGGTTGGAGGTGGAAGAGTGTATAGGGGTATAAATGGTAATGGATAAAAATACAACAAAAAATAAGGCAAAAAGTAAAACTAATTTGTCTGTTACAAAATTTAGACAAAAATATAAATGAGGATTGATCCTTGTAGAAGAGAATTTGCAAAAGTGATAGGACTTTGTTAACAGAAAAGTATTTTTAATAGATTTTTAATTGAAAGCATTGATAGATAAGTAATATGTTTTTGATTAGGAAATTTCAAGGCAACCTACACTCAATCATAATAAAATGACATTAACCATTTATGAGCCCTTAACATATGTCAGGGATTAAATTAGTTACTGTATGTTCGTTATATTAAAGTGAAATACACAAACACACAAGCTCTTAAATCTTCACTAACAAGGAATCAACATTAAGCAAAGGAAGACGGTTTAATTCAAATGGGTTATCTTTCCTCTACCCTCATTACAATTTACTATTTTATGGGAGTGGTGAATTCAGATTCACCTTGAGTTAAGGGGTAATACTTTTTTAATGTTGAAAATCATTTCTTAGCCCTGGCTGGCATAGCTCAGTGGATTGAGCGCGGGCTGCGAACCAAAGCATCACAGGTTCGATTTCCAGTCAGGGCACATGCCTGGGTTGCAGGCGACAACCCCCCAGCAACTGCACATTGATGTTTCTCTCTCTCTCTCTTTCTCCCTCCCTTCCCTCTCTAAAAATAAATAAATAAAATCTTTTAAAAAATTTCAAAAAAAATCTCTCTGAAAAAAAGAAAATCATTTCTTGGGGTACAATTTACATGAAATAAGATGAATCCATTTTATATGTGCAGTTCACTGAGTTTTGAGAAATGAATATACTCATGTAACTTTTACCTCAATTAAGATAAAGGATATTTCTACCATCCCCAAAAGTTCCTTAATGTTCCTTTGCAGTCATTCTCACTATCCTGCTCCTAGGCAATCACTAATCTGATTTGTTACTATAGTTTAGTTTTGTCTGTTTTACATCACATTCATATAGTGTTCATTGCCCTCTTTTGCTTAGCATAAATGTTTTTGCAATTGATACATGAATACATGCATACATGAGTGTATTCTGTTACATGAGTAGTTCTTGTTTTATTTTCTAGTTTTGAGCTTTTATGAACAAAAACTATCAACATTTGTCTACCAGTCTTTGTGGACATCAGTTTTCATTTCTCTTGTGAGTGAAATTGTTGGGCTATATGTAAATGTATGCTTATTTTTCTAAGAAATTTCGGAACTGTTTTGCATAGTGTATAATTTTACACTCCCATCAGTATTTATGAACGTTCTGGTTGTTCCACATTTGTGCCAACATTTGGTATTTTAAGTTTTCTTCCTTTCTTTACCAATTTCAATTTGTGTTTAATGGTATCCTCAATGTGATTTTAATTTGTATCTTTCTGATGACTGCAGACATTGAGCGCCTTTGCATGTGCTTATTGCCCATTGGCATATTTTTCTTTGTGATGTGTTTTTTCAAATCTTTTTGTCCCTTTTAAAGTGTCTTCTATTTTTGAATTATAGAGTTGTTTTTTCTTTAATATGGTTATAAGTTCTTTATCAGATACTTGTTTTGTGAATATTTTCTCCCAGTCTGTGGCTTGCCTTTCATTTTCTTAGTGTCTTTTAGAGGAGCAGATGTTCTAAATTTTGAGTTCAATTTACCATTTTTTTTCCTTTTGTAGTTGATGCATTTTCCTCCTAAAAAATCTATGACTACATTAAGGTCTTGAAGATTTTCTTTTGTGGTTTCTCATGAAAAATTTTATCTTTTTGTTTAGGTCCATGATCTGCTTTAAGTTAATTTTTGTAAATTTAAGATTCCTATTGTCCATGCTGGAATGTAGTTATTTCAGTTATTTATCTGTAGTAGGCCCACATACTTGTGATATTTCATTAACAGCAAGAAACCTATACAGGGTCTGTCTGGAAAAAGTACAGCCATTGTTAATAATAATGAGAAGAGTTCATTAATGTCACCTGGCAGCCAAGAAGAATGGACTGGAATGTGCATGCATGAAAATGACGACTTCACTGTACTAGTCAGTGGGGCCGGTAGATGCCATTAAGTGAACTGGGGTGCAGTGTGGCCATCCCATTCAAAATAACTGAGCAAGTAGAGCAACAATGAATCTGCATCAAATTTTGCATTAAGGTTGAACATTCCTCCATGGAAACTATTTGGATGATTCAGAAGGCCAAAGCTATGGGCAACTGGTGACTGACAGCTTCATCATGACAATGTGCCTGCTTATGAATCATTTCTTGTGCAGAGTCTTTTGGTGAAACATCAAATCAGCAGGTTATTCAGTCCCCATACAGATTTGGCACCCTGTCACTTCTGGCGTTTCCCAAAACTAAAATCACCTTTGAATGGCTAGAGATCTCAGACTGTCAGTAAAATTCAGGAAAACACGATGGGGCAGCTGATGGCAATTGGAAGAACTGTGTGAGATCCCAAGATGCCTATTTTGAAGGGGACTGAGGCGTCACTGTCCTATCTACAATGTTTCTTGTATCTTCTTCAATGAATGTCTCTATTTTTTCATATTACATGGCTGGATACCTTTTGGACTGATCTCATATATATAAATCTATATAAATCTCATATATATAAATCTATATATGCAATATTTAACATATCCTTTGTTTTATACACCAGACTTATATAAAAAAATCATGGCCCTGTATAAAGTATTTGAAGTATATTTTCTAATCATCATTTTACTTGTGTTATTTTACATGTATTTATATATTGAGTTTTGGTGAAATTATTAGATTCTGTAAAACTGAAAGTATGTATTAAATCTTTGGTTAACACGGAGTTCAGGGTGATCATATCTGATCCATACATAGTAAAACAGCTAGGCACTAATCAGGATTCTTCTGTTTATTCCATGACATATTCATTCCTTTGAGTCCTCTCTCACCTTGCCCTGACAACTTTCATTTACTTTTTTAACTGGAAGGAAAATGAATTCTCCTGTAAGAACCAGGTCAGTATATGAAAGAGATAAAAGAACTGGTTGAGCTCACAGATTTTTTTCTTTTCTGCTTTTTTCTCCTTTCTTTTTTTCTTTGAGCCAAGATCTTTTTTCCCTATGAATATTTTCATTTTTACCTCTTTTTTTTGGGAGAAGAGCTGCACATGCTCTGCAAGCATCTCCTTTCTAAGCATATTTTCCTGAGAGTAAAATTGCATTTCTTTAGAGTTTACTATGGGCTGCTTGTAGCTTAATGTTTAGAATGTTTTTATTTTGAAGGGAGGATGTTAAACACCAATAAGAGCACAAAAACTCAGGGTTGTAGGAAAGAATTTTATATGATACAAAGTAGGATAAAATGTTAATGTACTTTTCTTCTATCTCCTCTCTAATACTTCATCTTTTCCAGTTTGCCATAGCTGTTTTTAATCTTGGAGCAATTTTACTCTGCCTCTCCAGTGAGAAACCAATAGATATGACGTTGTGATGTTGTAGTGTTTGTTTTGTTCATGGAGTTAGTGTTCTTATTTTATATCTGGGTTTCATGTACTATCTTGTATTTCTCCAGAAATGATACATTTCATTATTAATATATAATTACTGTCTTTTTTTCTCTTTGTTTTTCTCTTTCTTCTTTTTTTACCCTTTGGTTCTTGAGCAGGTCTTGTTCAGCGTTGTGTGATCATCCAGAAGGATGACAATGGATTTGGGCTGACGGTCAGTGGAGACAATCCAGTCTTCGTACAGTCTGTCAAAGAAGGCAAGACATTTTTCAAATTGTCTTGTCACTCGAAAGCAAACAGAGTAAGAATAGAAAAGCTTAAATAAAGTCTTTTGCCCAGAATAAAATAATGACATAGGTTTCAGGTTACATGACTTGTTTGGCTAGATTTTTCTTTAGTGTCATAGTTTGAGGCATGCATTTCTGCCAGTTGATTTTCTGTGTATTTTATAGTTTTAGAAATCACATCACTCTTTGGTCATGGTACTTTATGCATCATCACTTACAGAAGTTTGTGTTATAAAGATATTTTGGTAGAAACAGACTAAGCAGATGGTTGTAGGCTCAAAAATATCTGTTCTTTTTCCAAAACAAGAATATTTTTGTATTGCTATTACCATTTATTGAATACTTCCTTTATGTTGGATGTGATAATTTGAGGTAGGTATATTTTATCCCTATTTTATAAATGATTTTGAAACTTAGGTTAAAAACCATAAAAACAGTCCAAGGTCACACAACTAGTGAGTGATAGAGGCAGCATTTGAATGTAAGTGTATGGCTTTACAGCCCATGTTCTTTAAGCACTTGGTTATGCTGCCTCTGTTTCAAAAAGATTATCAATTGAAGATTATCAATTCAAATGAGTTACATTTTAAGTAATTAATTTGTCTTACAGATGGAGCAGCCATGCGAGCTGGAGTACAGACAGGTGATCGAATCATCAAGGTAAGGAAAAGACTAATATAGAATTTATGGTAGATTTTAAAAAACAGCATATGTTAACCATAGTTTGATTTTTTTCATGTGGATTTTTATTAAAAGCAACACTTGACTTATGATAGGTGGACTATAAAAACGTGCTTAATTTAAAATTAGTATAACTCCATACTGAAAGGCATAATAAAAGGCTTGAAGAAATGATTTTTTTAGCAACAAATTTTCATCTCACTGAGTGGGACCTCACACAGTTCTCCCAATCACCATCAGCTGTCCCATTGTATTTTCCTGAATCTCACTGACGGTCTGAAATCTCTTCCCTTTCAAAGATGATTCTAGTTTTGAGAAAAGCCAGAAGTCTGGGCTAAAAGAGGGGCTGAGTTACCTGAGTGATTTGATGTTTCACCAAAACTCCGCCCAAGACATGCTGCATGAGAAGGCATGTTGTCATGATGAAGCTGTTAGTCACCAGTTGCCCACAGCTTCAGTCTTTCGAATCATCCGAATAGTTTCCATGGAGGAATGTTCAAGCTTAGCACAAAATTTGATGCAGATTTGTTGCTCTACTTGCTCAGTCATTTTGAATGGGATGGCCACACGGTACACATGCTTACTCAGCGGTGTCTATCAGCCCCACTGACTAGTACAGTGAAGTCATCATTGTTCACACATGTGCATTCCAGTCCACTCTCCTTGGCTGCCAGGTTAAGTTGATGTCATGCAAGCTGTTCTCATATTAACACTAGCTGTACTTTTTCTAGACCTTGTAAAGTAGGTAAAATTTGTTTGAATGGAAATTTGTGAATGTATATCAAAAATTACATACTTTAAGTTAAGTATATACCTTTGATCAGCAATTTTGCTTCTAGGAACATATGTAAGGAAATAAGTGTACAAACATGAAACGATACATATACAGGGAAATTTATTTCAGCTTCATCATACTGAAAACTTACAAATTTTGGGCTATAGAAATAAATTGCATATTATCTGCAGCTTTTAAAAAGAATTTGTGTACCTATAATGGAAGATATCTACAATAAAAAGTATTTATTTTCAGGGGAAAAAAGCAATTATAATACATATTTACATGTGTCTGTGGTGTATGTAACTACAATAGTGGTTCAAAGATTAAACATGATTAACAAGTAATCTCTGGTAGTCACCATGAATGTACTTTTACTTTTATTTTATATACTGATAGATTTGAACTTATAAAAATCAGTATCATTTGTGTCAGAGAAAAAGTAGTTTTAATGTTAGATCCATGTTCGGTATACCTTAATTTGTTTTGTTTATTGGAGACTTTGGATAACATATCCTACATTTAACCTCTTAAAATTAATTTTCTTTGTAAAGGTTAGGTCATAATTAGGAAACTGAAAGTAAGTTGAATGTTATTTTGGAAATACTTATTTTTTCATGTTTCAAAAATACATTATGATTTTGACAAATTACTGAATTTATAAATGTAAGCAAAGAAATGTTTTCTATTTGCAAGAGCCCTCCACTGTGAAGGATTTGTAAATCATTTGCATGATATGTTTTGTCATCTGTCATGGTGAATACATTGTATTGCCCTCTAAATCAAGGCCTTATTGTGTGTTCAAGTTCATTTTGTTGCTGAGTATAACTTATAGAATAATGGAGAAGTGAGCATTTTACAAATATATACATAACTTTATTTACTATATTATAATTATATATATTGTGTATAGTAATCCCTGAAATCAGTTTTCTCATTGTCTCAATAGAATGTATCTGACATATATTATTTTCATTTTCTTGCAGGTGAATGGAACACTGGTGACTCGTTCAAATCATTTGGAGGTGGTAAAGTTAATCAAATGTAGGTGAATGTTATTCTGTTCTGTTTTCCCAATCCCTTAAGCAAGGATTTGCAAATATTTTCTATAATAGACCATATAGAAAAATATTTTAGGCTTTGTGGGCTGTATGGTTTACTACCTGACTCTGTCATTATAGCATGAAAAGAGCAATAAACATATGTAGGTGAATAGGTATGGCTGTGGCAATAAAACTTTATTTGCCAAAACAGTCTGTGTGCTAGGTTAAGTCCCTTGACTAGTGTTTGCTCACTCCTGAATTAAAAGGAAAGTCTGAGATGAAAATTCTTAATAATTATCTTGCCCTGGCTGGCGTAGCTCATGGGCTGTGAACTAAAGTGTCCCAGGTTCGATTCCCAGCCAGGGCACATGCCTGGGTTGCAGGCCATAACCCCCAGCAACCGCACATTGATGTTTCTCTCTCTCTCTCCCTTCCCTCTCTAAAAATAAATATAAATAAATAAAATCTTTAAAAAAATTAATTAAACATAGCCATTAGAAGATGATTGATTTTAACTCACTCTTCTCTAATTAAAATCTGAGGGTTATCAATTTTATTTTCTTTTAAGTAATGCTATAAGTAATAATTTGCTATCTGAAAATGAAGTTATTCTTTTAGATTTTTAGAAGAGTCATAAAAAAGATTGGGTTCTTTTTATGTGGATAAGTGATTAGCAGATGATGAAACTTTTGCACATGACTGGATCTTAGAAATGTCAAAGACTAAGTAGTGAAATGTTGTAAAAAAATTTTTACAATGTTATTTTCCCATCATTCCCCTTTTATCTCCTCATCCCAAGCTGGTTCCTATGTAGCTCTCACTGTTCAGGGACGCCCACCTGGGTCAGCCCAAATTCCACTTTCTGATTCTGAAGTAGAGCCATTGGTCATTGGACATATGTCTCCCATTGTGACATCCCCTCATTCACCTGGAACATCTGGGAATATGGAGAGAATTACTAGTCCTGTACTCATGGAGGTGAGTGGGAAAAACTCATTGTAAATGCTCAGTTGCATAATGGCTTTGCTTTGTATTCAGAATTTTTGAAGTACTGAACTGATAAATACATTTAAGTGCAAGATTCTAGAAAGTAACTTTCTAATATAATAATTACATCATACAGTTGACCCTTCAACAACATGGGTTTTAAATCCACTATACATGGATTATTTTCAATAAATACATATAGTACTATAAATGTTTTTCTCTTCCTTATGATTTTCTCTACCTTTATTGCAAGAACTCAGTATATTATACCTCTAGCATATAAAAAAATCGTTAATCAACTTATTGGTAAGACTTCTATTCAGTAATAGGCTATTAGTAATTAAGTTTTGGGGGAGTCCGAAATTACATGCAGATTTTTGACTGCCTGGGGGTTGGCACCCCTAACCCCCACGTTATTCAAGTGACAATTGTAATTTGGAATAGTTACTGAGTATTGAGATAGGAGATTTCATTCAACAAATATTAAATACCTGCCATACAGAGAACAGGTTGCCATTCACAAAAATATTTAAGAAATCCAATGTTCAAGGTCCTTATTATCTAATAATATATACTTTGAGAGGATGAGGGTTTTTGTTTGTTTGTTTGTTTACTGTTGAGTCCCTAGTGCCTGAAAAAAGAATATAGTTGGGACTGTCCATCCCTTTGTTGTCTCTGGGGCACACTGGAAGAACAAGAGTTGTCCTGGACCACACATTAAATACATTGTGACATGTAATAACAAAAAATATCACATAATGTTTTAAGTAAATTGCTAATTTGTGTTGGGCTGCATTGATAGCCATCCTGGTACTCATGTGGCCCATAGGCCTCGGATTGGACATCCCTGATAGTGTTTGGCATATGGTAGGTGCTTAATAAACCTTTGTTGTTTGAGGTTGAATTAAGACTATACAAGTAATTATAGTACAAAGGCAGAATGTGATATGAGGGCAAAAAATATTAAGTTTTAAAGAATTCAAAGGAGGGCAAAAGAGTATATCCAGTTGTGATAAGGAAGGACTTTGTGGAAAGCTATTTTTTGAATTGAGCCTTGAATAACAGGTAACATTTCAGTGGTGGCAGTGGAAAGGAGGGTTAACCCACTTGCGGGAAGTAGAATTAGCTAGGACTGTTGTTTGCTTGGAGCCTGTTAAGGATTTATGTAATGGGAAATGAGCTTGAAAAAATAAGACTGTTTGTTTTCAAAAATCACAACTACCAGGCTGCTTTACATGTAACTGGATAGGCAGTGACAGCCAGTAAAACTTCTTTTGAGCAAGACAGTGATATGAGTATAAAAGGATTTTAGGAAGACTAATTTGATAAAATAAGGGGTTTTGAAATAAGGGAAATGGTGTGAAGTGAATTAGGGAGCTGTCTTAGTATTTCGGGTAGGAAGTACTGGGAATTTGAGCCATGCATGGGGATTGATAGTAAAGATCTAAAGAAGGGAAAATATTAATGTTATTTTTATACTTAAGGCAACTTTGTTTTTCCAACTAATACAATATTTAATGTTTCCTTGATCTAGTTTAGTAAAAGTGAAAAGGGCTGAAATTTCCCTGTTGCCTTTTATCTTTAGTGTCATGTCTAAAAAAAGTCTAACTTTGTAGGTGCTAGAAATAAAGAAAATCTTAATAGGTATTAAAATTAGAGCTGAGGCATAACATAATATGTCTTGTTTTCACTTTATTTTAGCTTCACTTTCCCTGTATTGGTTCTTTTGTTTGTTTGTTTAATCTTTTTCTAGGAGGAAAACAATGTGGTTCATAACCAGAAAGTAGAAATATTGAGAAAAATGTTACGGAAAGAACAGGAACGGCTACAGGTACTAAACTAAGGAAGGGCTGTTTACAGGCCAAATTATGAGTTGGTATTTATTATAATCACAATCAAACAGTATTGTAATCAGTCCATCAGCTATTTGATTAAGAATAGACTTCTTCTCTATTTTCTTGCCATAAATAATTAGTATCAAAATATTTTTGTAACTTTTCAGTTATTACAGGAAGATTACAGCAGAACACCTGCCGAAAGATTGCTAAAAGAGATTCAAGAGGCCAAGAAACACATTCCTCAGCTGCAAGAGCAGTTATCCAAAGCCACAGGCTCTGCCCAGGTAGCAACACTATTAAAAGTACTACCCAGCTTTTTTGCTGGAGTGTATTCTTTGAGGAATGTGTAAGAGAATGTTGCAGTTGCCTTTTGAAAAAGTTACGTTGCTTTTCTAGCAGGAGGTCCTTTGTAAGATGTTACAGAACTAATGATTAACTAAAAGAAATGTGGGCTTCTGATTATTTGCTTGCTTATGATTTAGTATTTCTTTGTTCCACAATAATTCTTTTCTTTAAGTATTTTTTGTTGATTGTGATATTACAGTTTTCTCAATTTCTCCCTCTTTATCCCCCCTCTGCCTTGCCTCCCAAACCCTCCAGCATTCACCCCCTTAGTTCATGTCCATGGATTGTACATGTAAGTGTTTTGAGTCCTCTGTTTCCTATACCAGTTTTGATCTCTCCCCATCTATTTTATGCCTACTAATTATCCTCTTTCTTCCCTGTACCTTTTCCACCATTCCTCCCTTCTCCCTCCCCATTGAAATACCTGTGTGATCTCTGTTTCCCTGATTCTGTTTCTGTTCTAGTTGTTTGCTTAGTTTTTGTTTTCATTGTTTGTCCTTTCTTTTAGGTTCATTTGTTGATAGTTGTGAGTTTGTTGTCATTTTACTGTCCATAGTTTTTGATCTTCTTCAATTTCTTAGATAATGTTTCTTAACATTTCATATAATAAGGTCTTGATGATGACGAACTCCTTTAACTTGACCTTAGTCAAGTGCTGGGAAGCACTTGATCTGCCCTTCCATTCTAAATGAAAGCTTTGCTGGGTAGAGTAATCTTGGATGTAGCGCTTTGCCTTTCATGACTTCAAATACTTCTTTCCAGCCCCTTCTTGCCTGCAGGGTTTCTTTTGAGTAATCAGCTGATAATCCAATGGGAACTTCTGATAGGTAACTCTCTCCTTTCCTCTTGCTGCGTTTCAAGATTCTCTCCTTATCTTTAATATTGGGTAACTTGATGATGTGCCTTGGTGTGTTCCTCTTTGAGTCCAACTTCTTTGGGACTCTCTGGACTTCCTCGACTTTCTGGAAGTCTGTTTCCTTTCCCAGATTGGGGAGGTTTTCCTTCATTATTTGTTCAAGTAAGTTTTCAGTTTCTTGCTGTTGTTGTTCTCCTTCTGGCACCCCTATAATTCGAATGTTGAATGTTCAAGTTGTCCCAGAGAATCCTCAGCCTCTCCTCATTTTTTTGAATTCTTGTTTCTTCATTCTGTTCTGATTGGATGTTTCGTTCTTCCTTTGTTACAAATTGTTGCCTTGAGTCCTGGTTTCCTTCCTGTCACTGTTGGTTCCCTGAATATTTTGGTTTATTTCATTTTGGGTATCTTTCATTTGTTTTTTTTTTGTTTGTTTGTTTTTGTTTTTTTTAATTTTTATAGCAAGCTCAATGAGTTCTGTGAGCATTTTGATTACCAGGGCTTTAAAGTCTCCATCAGATAGGTTGGCTGTCTCCTCATCATTTAGCTTTCTGTCTGAAGTTTTACTCTGTTCTTTCATTTGGGCCATATTTTTTTGTCTCAGTGCACCTGTTAAATTGTAAGGGGGTGGAGCCTTAGGTATTCACCAGGGCAGGGCAACCCTCCTTGCTGTGCGGGAGGCGCTAGAGAGGAACAATGCAACTGGCTTGCTTGTCTCTAGCCCACTTTCCAGTGCACTCTCGTGTGACACTGGGAGTTTCTCCCATAGCGCCAACCGCTGTAGTCCACAGTGAGCTCTTAGTCTGAGTTTCCCATTCAGTCAACCCTGCTCATGCAGTTCGTTACCTCACTGCGGCTTCTTACTGGTCTGGTTTCTGGACTGTTGGACTGTTTCTTTGATTCCTTGGTGGTTGGAGTTCCATGCAGTTTGATTTTCTGGCACTTCTGGTTGTTTATTGATTTTAGATTGGTTGTTATCCTCCTTTTGGTTGTGTGAGGAAGTGAAGGGTTTCTCCCCATCTTGGCTTCCATCTTGGCTGGAACTCCCCACAATAATTTTTAAGGGAGTGTTTTTGCTTTGGTGGGACAAATTACTGAAATGTATTTAGATACATGTAATTGTTGTTTTGAGGTTCATTCTGCAATTATGTTTTTAAGTAGGGATATAAGATTTTACAAATGGACAGGCATTTTGCTAAGTACTTGGGCAAGCATTTTTCTAGTCTCTGTAACAACCCTCTGAGATTAGATAACTATATTGTCCCCCCCTACCTGTTTTACACTTAGAGAAACTCAGATTAAATAAATTATTTGAGAACATGTAGCTCAAAAGTGATGGAGCTGGAATTTAAGCTGACTTTGATGAATTTAAAGCACACTCACATTCTTAATGACTGTATTTTTATCATTTTAAAGTATATTGCAAGAGGCCCTGGCTGGGAAGCTCAGTCGTTTAGACCATCGTCCCTATACCCCAAGATTACAGGTTCAATTCCTGGTGAGGGCACTTACAAGAATCAACCAATGAATGCATAAATAAGTGGAATACCAAATTGATGTTTCTGTCTCACTCTTTCTTCCCCTCTCTCTCTAAAATGAAAATTTACAAAATGAAAATAAAATAAAATAAAATAGATATCAACAGACTTTGCTAAATAGAGGTAAGTGTAGAAATGATGGTCTCATAAAAAATAGCTCAGCATTTATATCTCAACTAGATTTAAATCCTATAATATTCAGATTTGGGGTATGAAAGGCTCCTTTTACTTCATTTTAAAGCAAAATGGTTCTGGTCGGTGTGGCTCAGTTGGTTGGAGCATCATCCTATAAACTAAAGAGTTGCTGGTTGGGTTCTTGGTCAGGGCACATGCCTAGATTTCAGGTTTGGTCCTTGGTCAGGGCACCTATGAGAGACAACTGATGAATATTTCTCTCTTATATCAATGTTTCTCTCCCTCTTCTCTCCCTCCTTCTTCCGCTCTCTAAAATCAGTAAATATGTCCTTGGATAAGGATACCCCCCCAAAAAAAAGCAAAATGGATAAGTTGCCTGTACCATTTAAAATGAGTAAAAGCTGTTGACTTGCTATTTTTCCTGTTATGTCTGTAAGTGAAAGCCAGAGTCATAGAAGTGAAAGGATGTAAGACCATCTAGCCTAATTAAAAATCATGCTATGGTTGTGAAAACTAGGACCTAAATTGGTTAAATGACTTATAGGTCACACAGTTACAAGGTCCCTTGACTTGCTGGTTTAGCATATGTTCAGTTATACATTAGTTATTTTTTCTTTATTTACAGTCCCATTAACTGTCTCTAATGTTACTTACATTTTATAACCACAGAATTAGTAGTTATTTATGTTTTTAACTTTCAAATCTTTAAGCATTCTTGATCGTGTGAAAATGTCCAACTTTTAGTGGTCTCCTTTGTAGTGCAACTCTACTTCTTTATGCAATCAAAAATGAAAGTTTTTATGTGTTTGTGTTTAATCTGTTTTAGGATGGAGCTGTAATTACTTCCTCCAAGCCTTTAGGTGACACATTAATAGTCAATGAGTTAGAGGCAGATCCTGGTAATGGAATAGGCAAAATTGACTACAACAGTGGAGATGTTTCTTGGCCGAGCAGTGACAATGCAAATGTAAGTGTTTATATCTTAATCTTCTTTTGTTCTTCTTTACAGCCTCTCTCTACATTTGAGGTTAAGTTACATGAGTTACAGGTGTGTTCTCTTATTGCTTACAATCTTTTTATCATTGCCATCTTTGATACAGCAATTTGATGAGCAGAATTTCTGGACACTATTGTATTGAGCTTTTAATTCCAGAGTTCGCCTTTTCCCTTGGACAGCTATTGTTAGATGTTTCTTTAGAAGACATGGAATTTCCCAGCAGGCATCTTGTTTGAGGGGAGAAATGTTAATAATGCCAGTGCATTTTTACTGAAATGAAAGGCCAGCTGTTGATATCTTTAAAAGCCTGTTAATATTCTATTTGTGGTCAGAGTAACTCAGTCTTGAATCATGGGGCACTTTGCCATTAGAAAGAGAATAAGACTTAGTTCTGTTAGACTTCAGTTAATAGCCCATGTTTAGTAACACTTTTCTTGATGAACCCAGACCTTGCCAGATGTACATGGATACTTGTTAAAAGAAGATATTTTAAGTTGAATATGATATGGCTCCACAGTCATATGTATTCAGTGTTACTCAGTAGTCTATAATGACTTAAGAATAGATCACCCTTCTAAAATATGATGAAGAAGGTAGTCTAAACCAGTGCTTTTAAAATTCATTCATGAAATCAATTTAGTTGTTTGGGACCAGCATGCCCAAAAAAAAGGAAATAAGAGTGCTTTACAGAATGGCAGCAAAGTAGATGAGACCTAAATCCACTTGCTTGTGCACCCAACTGGGACACTTAGCTGATCTTCCAAAAAACAAAATGAACAGCCAGCAGAATTGTAGCTGATAAGAAGTTTAGAAGCCAAACTGTGCAGAGGACGATTGGAAATGGGTAGTAAGGAGGTTTTATAGGCAGTTGGTGAAGGTTTCCGGGCATGGCACCAGAAACCACAGATACTGCAGAGGCAATATTGGAGGAGAGCTGGGCCAGTGATAGCAGCCTAGAAACACACTCCCCTCCCAGGGTGGAGTTTCCCAGACCCATTCCAGTATAGTCACTGAGGGCAAAAAAGGCAACAAACTCATTCACAGCTGGGCGTCACCCAAGGTGAGGCAGCAGTTGCCAGAGAGGAAAGTCCCAGAGAGTGGGGGCGTAATTCTGGCAGCTTCTGGGGCTGGGAGAAGAGGTGGGCTGCCTTGGCCATGACTGAGATAGACTCTGGATTTGCTAGAGTTGCAGTGTGGAAAGCCAGGCAGTGGCTCTAACAGAGACTTTTTGATTTTTGTTTTTATTTTTTAAATTTTATTTTAATTATTATTGAAGAACAATTTTCTATCTTTTGTTCTCATCCGAGCCCACCCACCCCTCCCCTCCCTCCCTCTCATTTCCACCTGCCCCTAGTTTTTTATCCATGTGTCCTTTATACTTGTTCCTGTAAACCCTTCCCTTTTCCCCTGAAATTCCCTCACCTCTTCCCTCTGAACACTCTCAGCCTGTCCTCTATTTCAGTGTCTTTGGTTATATTTTGCTTGTTTCTTTGTTTTGTTGTTTAGGTTCCTGTTAAAGGTGAGATCATATGGCATTTGTCTTTCACTGCCTGGCTTACTTTGATTAGCATAATACTTTCCAGTTGCATCCATGCTGTTGCAAAGGGTAGGAGCTCCTTTCTTTCTGCTGCATAGAATTCTATTGTGTAAATATACCATAGGTTTTTGATCCATTCATTTAACGATGGGCACCTAGGTTGCTTCCAGTACTTGGCTATTGTAAATTGTGCCGCTATGAACATTGGGGTGCATAGGTTCTTTTGGATTGGTGTTTCAGGGTTCTTAGGGTATAATCCCAGCAATAGAATTGCTGGGTCGAAAGGCAGATCCATTTTTAGTTTTCTGAGAAAAATTCCATACTGTTTTCTATAGTGGTTGTGCCAGTCTGCAGTCCCACCAACAGTGCACTAGGATCCCTTTTGCTCCACAACCTTTCCAACACTTGTTTGTTGTTTTGTTTATGATGGCCATTCTGACTGGTGTGAAGTGGTATCTCATTGTGGTTTTAATTTGCATCTCTCTAATAGCTAGCGATATTGAGCATCTTTTCATGTGGCTCTGGATCCTCTGTATGTCCTCCTATGAGAAGTGTCTATTCAAGTCCTTTGCCCATTTTTTAATTGGGTTGCTTGTCTTCTTAGAGTGGAGTTGTGTAAGTTCTTTATATATTTTGGAGATTAAACCCTTGTCTGAGGTATCATTGGCAAATATGTTTTCCTATACAGTTCGTTCTCTTTTTCTTTTAATACTGTTTTCTTCTGCTGTGCAGAAGCTTTTTATTTTGATGAGATCCCATTTGTTTATTCTTTCCTTTATGTCTCTTGCTCTGGGGGACATATCAGTAAAAATGTTGCTGCGTGGAATATCTGAGATATTCCTCTCTATGTTCTCCTCTAGGACTTTAATGGTGACATGGCTTATATTTAAATCTTTTATCCACCTTGAATTTATTTTTGTATATGGTGTAAGTTGGTGCTCGAGTTTCATTTTTTTGCACATAGCTGTCCAGTTCTCCCAACACCATTTGTTGAACACACTGTTTTTACTCCATTTTATGTTGCTGTCCCCATTGTCAAATATTAATTGACCATAGAGACTTGGGTTTATTTCTGGCCTCTCTGTTCTGTTCCTGCTCCATGTGCCTGTTTTTATGCCAGTACCAGGCTGTTTTGATTACAGTGGCCTTTTAATACAGTTTGGTATCAGGTATTGTGATCCCTCCTACTTAGCTTTTCTTTCTCAAAATTGCAGCAGCTATTCAGGGTCATTTATGGTTCCATATAAGTCTTTGAAGTGTTTGTTCTATGTCTATGAAATATGCCATTGGTACTTTAATAGGTATTGCATTGAATGTGTAAATTGCTTTGGGTAGTAATGGACATTTTGATGTTAATTCTTCTGATCTATGAACACGGTATATGTTTCCATTTGTTTGTGCCTGCCTTAATTAATTTCTTCAGTGTTGTGCAGTTTTCTGAGTACAGGTCTTTTACCTCCTTGATTAGATTTATTCCTAGGCATTTTATTTTTCTTTTTGCTATATCGAATGGGATTTTTTTCTTGATTTCTGCTTCTGCTGTTTCATTGTTGGTATACAAAAATGCCTTTGATTTCTGGATTGACTTTGTATCCTGCTGTTTTGCCAAATTTGTTTATTAGGTTGAGCAGTTTTTTGGTGGAGTCTATAGGATTTTCTATGTACACTATCATGTCATATGCAAACAATGACAGTTTTGTTTCCTCCTTTCGGATTTGGATGCCTTTTATTTCCTTTTCTTGTCTAATCACTGTGGCTAAAACTTCCAATACTATATTGAATAGAAGTGGTGAAAGTGGACAGCCTTGTCTTGTTCCTGATCTTAGGGGAAAAGATTTTAATTTTTACCCATTGAGCATGATGTTGGCTGTAGGTCTCTCATATATGGCCTTTATTATGTTGATGAATGCTCCCTCTATTCCCACTTCGCTGAGTGTTTTTATCATGAATGGGTGCTGTACCTTATCAAATGCTTTTTCTGCATGTATTCATATGATCCTGTGATTTTGTTTATGTGATGTATTACATTTACTGATTTACGAATATTGTACCATCCTTGCATTCCTGGGGTGAATCCCACTTGGTCATGGGATTTGATCTTTTTAATGTATTGTTGGATGTGGTTTGCCAAGATTTTGTTGAGGATTTTAGCGTGTATGTTCAACAGCTAAATGGCTGATATTGTCTTGAAGTATTCTTTCTTTGTTGTGTCTTTATCTGGTTTTGGGATTAGGATGATGCTGACTTCATAAAAAGAGATTAGGAGTCTTCCATCATTCTAGATTATTTGGAATAGTCTCTGAAGGATAGGGGTTAGCTCTTCCTTAACTGCTTTGTAGAATTCTCTTGTGAAACTGTCCAGTCCATGGCTTTGGTTTGTTTGAAGGTTTTTGATTACTGCTTCAATTTCATCTGCTGTTATTGGTCTGTTCAGTCTTTCTGCTTCTTTTTTTATTGAGTTTTGGAAGATTGTATTTTTCTAGAAAGTTGTCCATTTCATCTAGGTTTACAAATTTCTTGGCATACAGTTCTTCGTAATAATTTCTTACAATGTTTTGTATTTCTGTGGTATCTGTTGTAATCTCTCCTCTTTCATTTCTGATTGTGTTTATTTGGGTTTTCTCTCTTTTTTTCTTGATGAATCTGCTTAAAGGCTTGTGGATTTTGTTTATCTTTTCAAAGAACCATCTCTTGGATTCATTGATCCTTAGAATTGTGCTTTTAGTCTCTATGTCATTTAATTCTGCTCTGATCTTGGCTATTCCTTTCCTTCTGCTTGCTCTGGGCTGTCTTTGTTGTTGTTCCTCGAGTTCTTGTAGACGTAGGGTTAGGTTGTTTGTTTGAAATGTTTCTAACTTTTTTAGCTGGGCCTGTATCGCTATGAACTTTCCTCTCAGGACTGCCTTTGCTGTGTCCCATAAGTTTTGGGTTTTTGTGATTTTGCTTTCATTTGTTTCCGGAAACCTTTTGATTTCTTCCCTAATATCATTCTTGACCCATTCATTGTTTAATAGCATGCTATTCTATGTCCATGGTTTTGAGTTTTTCGGGTTTCTTCTCTTGGGGTTGGTTTCTAGTTTTAGTCTCTTGTGGTCAGAGAAAATGCTTGGTATAATTTCAATTTTCTTGAATTTGGTGATGCTTGCTTTATGTCCTATCATGTGGTCTGTCTTTGAAACTATTCCATGTGCATTTGAAAAGAATGTGTATTTAGCTTCTTTGTGATTAAGGGCTCTATATATTATCAGTTAAATCCATTTCCTCTAGGGCATTGTTCAGTGCCACAATATCTTTGTTGGTATTTTGTTTGGAAGATCTGTCCATTTTTAACAGTGGGGTGTTAAAAACCCCTACTATAATTGTTTTGCTGTCAATATCTTTTTTGAAGTCCTCTAAGATTTTCTTTATGTATTTCGGTGCTCTTATGTTGTGT